CGACGCTTCGCACTCAAGGGTAAACAGCAACGCACTCAACACTCCGGAAGCCTTCTGCCTTTTTTCACCAGCGGTGACATGGGGTACCTTGGTGCAATGAGGCATTTAGCCTCAAACCTGCAGCTACGGATGGCGGAACTGTCATCGCCTGGCGGAACAATCATCGCCTGCAAAAGAATGTGTAAACCGATATCAAGAATTTTCCCCTACGGATGGCGGAACTGTCATCGCCTGGCGGAACAATCATCGCCTGCAAAAGAATGTGTAAACCGATATCAAGAATTTTCCCCAAGAAAACGCATTATAAGCGAAGCACGCGCGGTCGCGCTGACCGGATCGGCAGGGGCATGCAGAGGGATTAGATTCATGCATGCGGCACTCGGCTGCAGGTGGCGTCACTCGCCGCAAGGTCTGAGATGCAATTGGTGTGGGTGGGCGGGAAGAAAAAAATTTTCTGCAACCTTACATGTGCAAGACTGAGGCTTGTTCAGTGAAGTGATAGCATAGTGTCACTGATGCTAATGCACAACCGACTTCAAGATACCTTGAGATGGCGAGCGCGGGTGACAAGAAGATGCAATATAGCACCACTTGGCGCTCACACTGACAGAAAACTTTTGGCAGCCATTTTCTTTAAAAATCCAAGCCCGATTTTTCAAGAAAATTCAGGCTCAAGATATTAAGGGACTATCAGCGCTCGCACTGACGGCCTCCTTAATATCTTGAGCATAAACGGCTGCCGACTTAGGGATTACGCTTGAGGGCTTAGTAGCTTGGCTTGCGACGCTTCGCACTCAAGGGTAAACAGCAACGCACTTAACACTCCGGAAGCCTTCTGCCTTTTTTCACCAGCGGTGACATGGGGTACCTTGGTGCAATGAGGCATTTAGCCTCAAACCTGCAGCTACGGATGGCGGAACTGTCATCGCCTGGCGGAACAATCATCGCCTGCAAAAGAATGTGTAAACCGATATCAAGAATTTTCCCCTTCTTATCCGTCGTATTACTTGACTAAGATGCCCAAAACTTCGGACACGATGTTCTCGCATGGGAAGTGTGGGACGGGGCAACCTGACACGGTGAAGCTCTTCAGCACTTCACGTGAAGGCGTGTCTGCTATGTTCGCTGGTGATGGAACGCGAGCGAACCACGAAAAAGTCTTGGCTAAAGATTCCACTGTTAAAAGCAGTGATGCAAGCGATTTGCCTACATCATTCCGTGATATACCACTGATTGACACGTCTCTAGCGGAGTTGTTGTCCACAAAAATCACAGTAGGTTTTCCCCTAAGCCAATCTTTCCATAGGACATACGCGATCACGATTGTTGCAAGTTCCGCCTCGAAAATGATGGTCTTGGACCTACCCTCTCCTATAAGACGCTTCTGAAAACCAGACAACTCCTCGGAGAAAAATCCAAGGGGGCGGCCTTTGTGGTCGAAGCAGACTCCACCTATGCCGCAGAAGGAACCCCCACTCGTCTCGGAATACGAAGCATCAGTGAAGACGTACACAGGTTCTGCCGACACATCTCTCAGCACGCGCGGCCAGTTGGCCTCAAGCAGATCGGCGAACTGAAGCATAGCTTGCTTTGCATCGTTGCTGAGGTTTGCTTTGGTGGAGCAGCTTTCACCAGCCAGGGCGGCTACGCATAACCGGCCGGCCCTTCCGAAGAGCTGGCCCCCTGCGAAGACCATGCGACCATGCGCGATAGGTCCTTCTGGGTGAGGGCTGGATCATCAACTGCACGTCGCAGCGTGGCCGCAACTTCTGAGATGCGCTTTTCCGTGCTATGAAACAGAACCTCTCCTTGCAAGAATCGTTCGAAACTAACCCGCACCCCAAGCGCAGCAAAACTCTCAGCAAAGGGTTTGTCCTTGTCTTCCGAGACTTTCCACCCTAGCAACTTGAACAGTGAGGAGATCGCCAAGTCGACTGCTTTGGCTTCGATCTGAGTCGCCAGACTCAAGAAGTCGTCAAAGAACAAAGAAGTGTGACCATATCAACTTCAGTGCCCAGCACCCGATGTACCACATAGAGTGCGCCACTCGCAAATAGGAGAACACCGCCCTGGTCGCCCCGAACGGGAGCGCCAGCATTTGCCTTACGATCACCCTGCGTTCGCGGTGGCTGAAGTAAGCAATGTAAGCTTCCTTGAGGTCGTCTGGCGACACGAACATTTGCCTGTAGGCGCTCTTTAAGTCAAACGTTTTCCCTAGCATGGGGACCCCAGGCAGCTGTCTGAGGGAAGCCAAGGCCATGGCAGCCACCACGTCAAGGGATTGAGGTTTGGGGCTCTCCGTGGTTTGGACAGACCCATTAACACCGCTATCACCAAGGTCATCTATTAAGCGGATCTTTCCCGACTGGTCGATCGCGAACCTCCTGCTGATAGTGGCGTCTTCCGTCAAATCGGCTGGGTCTATCGGCTCGGACAACCAGCCAAGCTCAACCTCTTCGTCAACTTTTTGTTCCAGCGCCTCATCTAGGTGCCCTTGCGATTTGATCGCTTCAAGGATCTTCTGGCGGGCTTCGCTAGCCCCAGAGCGCAGCTGTTCGGAAGTCCGTTTCGCTGGCTTAAAGGCTCCCGGAAAGACTCCAGTGCAAGGGGTCTGACCTGTCAAGTGCACTCCTTCAAGCATTTCGTCTAGCACTCCAACATCCGGATATTTGAGATCCTCTAGAATCTCACGCCACAATAGAATCCTTTTCGGCAGAACAATTTTCCTGGCATAATCGGGGAGAGAGCTCTTAAGCTTCTTCTCGTCTTCCGAGAGCTCTGCAGCACGTTTGGTCCACTTTGCAAACCATTCGGCTCTGAGGCTGGCTCGATCGGCATTCACATCTATGCTGTGGCTCAGTGCGGAAGGCAGCAGCGAGTCGAACCTTTTAGGATGTCCCGCTTGGACCGCTTTATGTATGAATTCTTCTGGGGACCAACATATGCCCCAAGCCAATTCAAGTTGGTCACTTCCCCTCTTATCCGCTCGGAGCAACTGACTGTGAGCCGGCACGGTTTCAGCAGGCTCAAAGCGCGAGTCATTCCAGGGCTCGGGCAGCCGGCCGCGAAGTGCGGGCAAGGCATTGGCATCGTTTGGCCCGCGCATGACAAGCACGGCTTTGTGCTCGGGGACGAGAGGCGGCACAGCGGAGGCCTTGGGTTGGAGGCCAGAAGTGGCTCTCATGGCTGCAAGGGAGGGCTCGGCTTCGGGCAAGAAAGTAACGGCTTGAGCAAAGCAGTGGGCGATGGCTGTGGCCAGCTGCTGCGGGTAAGCGCTTTCGGCGGTCGTGGCAAACGAGCCGTCTTCAGAACGACCCCAGGGTAAGTGTTGGGCAGCACAAGCACCTCCGGGGCATACACGATGCAAAGCATGGAAGGCGTGGTGGTTGTGACACAGGCGAGTCCACTTTGGCCGACGTCCGCCAAAGGCACAATGTTGGAAGTCAGTATACATGGGACAGAAAGCGGCAGTGGCTCTCCAAAAGCTGGTGGACCAATACAGACTGCTGCGCGGATTTTCCACGACAATGATGAGGCTTCGACGATGGGCCTCAGCACAGATTGTTGAGGTAAAGTGGTACAGCTGATTGGCCTTGTTGACTCGAACCATATTGAGACCGGACAAATGGGGCAGCCCATCAGGGAAATCAAGCGTTCGTAGAGGAGCGGGAGAAGGCCCGGGGAGTGAAATCTCCCGGGCACGCGAGCTGGTGCCGCACGGTGGAGCGATGAAGACTCCCACAACATGAGGGCTGGACAGCCAGAGCATGGCCAAACTCTGGCCCTCGCGAGTTGTCAAGTCGGCCAATAGGACAGGGCAGGCAGCATGATCCACGACCACGTGATCGACACCTTGGGCTCCAACGAAGCCGCAGCGACGCAAGGCTGCTGTCACACGAGCGGTACCCGCGAAAATTTCAAGAATCACTGGAAACCGCGAGGAGATGCTCGGGCGCGCAGGTAAGAGCTCTCCAGTTGACAGGCTTGGCAGACGAAAGGCAGCCTGCTGCAGAAGCTGGCGATGCTGAGCATCCAACTTGTTGAAATCATTGATCACGAATGCTGCTAGCACCGTGCGATTGCCCATCCATGGGCACGTCGCGTGTGGCCGATGTGCGTCGAACTGGATCGGTTCGTGCAGTTGCAGAACGTGTCCCTTGGCATCTGGATGCGCAGGGTCGGGACAGACCTCGTCGCCAGCTCCTTCGATCCAGAGGCCGCCGGCTTCGAATTTACTAAGCGGAATCAGAGCGTTGGGAAAACCCAAATGATTGTTGAGGTCTTGGTGAGCGGGAGTGAGGGTGTTAACTAAAACCACAATGGAGGTAAACTCCAATTGTGGGAATGTATTTTTATCGTTCAAAGATCGTGCTTTGTGTTTTGATGTCTATCATGTTTGAACCTTCAGGGATGAATGCTTGCACTCGCACAAATAAAACTCTCGCCCGATTCAGGGCTTCCTGCCCCTTCGAGAGGTCAAGCTGCAACGGGCGAATGTATTCTTCAACTGGTTCACAGCATGTATAAATGAGGGTTCATAAAAAGGCAGTGTAAAAGCAAAGCCCTAAAACAACAAATCAAAATTGGACTCAGTTCTCTGAGTCATTTTGTCATGTTGTTTTTCTTCGAACGATAAAGCCATATCTTCTGCAAGTGTTCAAAGAATGTAACGAAACCACGCTCGCTAAGACTCGGGATGAAAGTGGAAAATGATTGAGGTTGTGCCTTAGGCCGACTATGCCGCCATGCACGTAAGCACCGGTGGCCCAACTGAACTCGCCGGGGAAGCGAGGCGATTCGGGTTGCAGAAAAGAAACCAAGCCCAACACATCCTCAGCACTCAAGGCACTGCGGGAAAGCAAGGTTTGGGCGTACTGTTCACAAGGGGGTAAGACGGGATTGCATGCATCAGCCAGGTCTCCTGTGGCTACAAGAGGCGAGGCAGGCTCAGACAAGTATGAATCAGCAAGCAAAACTGTTTCAAAGGACTGCGAAGGCTTTCACGCCCCGGCGGCAGCGCACTTGCGAATCGAGTGAGGCTGGAAACACCTGGCACACACGTGTTGGTGGGGGCAGTCAGTGCGCTTGCACTCCTTCAAGTTGAAAGCATAGCAGATACTCTTACCTTCAGGCGTGGTGGCATGCGCCTTCAAATCCACGAGCTCCTTGGGCATCGCAGGAGAACCTTTGGCACCTTTGCCTCGGCCTTTGCCTTTGGGCAGCTTCGTAGGAGGATCAGGGGTTGAGGGCCGAGAGGGATGGCGCTTGCGAATATTCTTAAAAGGGTGCTTGCCTTGGGGAGCTTGGTGCATGAGGGCAATGGACACCTCGTAGGATTCCAAACCGCGGTGCATCTCTTTGTCAAGGGGATACTCACCTGCAGCATCCTTCCTGGGCTTGACACCCCATTCCGCCAGGAGCGCAAACACTTGCTTGTCGGCATTGACCAATTGTGTCACGTTCACGCGACTGAGCCCTGGCGGTGGGTCACAGGACAAATGGTTGAAGAGACGATTCACATACCGATCATAAGCGTCATAGGAAATCATCTGTGCAAACACCATGGCCAAACCCCGACGCCGAAAGGCCTCCATGGTCTGGAGCGCATTGACTGGTTGATATTCACCGGCATCGGTGTCGCTCTTAAGAACTATTTTGGAAGCTTCGACCTGCAGAGCCTGATGGGTTGGTCTTGGATTTGTGAGTTCATGAGTGCGGCTCGCTTTTTCAGGCGGGATGTACTTAAGTAGGTTGTCTCGCTCCTGCTGACAACACGAGTCTAGCAGGGCATTGCTTGGCATGTTCACGCCTTCCAGCGTGATGCCTGGGAGGGCTGCCCGGAGATCATTCAATCTTCTGTCGCGTTCAGCCTCGGGAACACGGCGAGGAGTGGATGACTGAGACCCTGATACTTGGTCGCGCAACTCAGCAACAACCAGGGTCTGAGACTCGAACACGAGTCGCTTCAAGCATGATTGATCACCCAGAGTCATACCGGCAGCATTATCGACCACCCACTCTCGGAAGATGGGCTCCGTGACTGGCTCACCCGGCGATGTGATGGTGTACGCCGCCTTGCCTACTGAGGTGATGCCTAGGGCTTGCAGGATGGTCCATCCTGCACTGCTGAGGCCGACCTCGTCTGCACGCCGTTTAAAGTGTGCACCGCTATCAATTAACGAGGACATGGCGAGCAAAAGGAGCTTCGGATAGTCCGCTGTGCAATTCAAAACTTCCGAGGTACCTGAACAGCTCACGCAAGTAATGTAAAGAATCACACAGAGAGTGTAAATCGATAAGAACACAACATGGAAATTCATGACATGAGTCAAACCATGGTTCATCCTCGGCCAAACTTGCAGTAACTCGCATGTTCGCATCGCACTCTACACGTCTACATGTTTGACAGAGTCTGATTCAGCAAACTGCAGAAGCTTCACTGCCCCTGGCAACAACATGTCCCAATGCAGACGATCACTCTTTGACAAGGACTTGAGTCGCAGTCGGTGACCTTTTAGGTCTTTGGCACTTCGAACTTCGCCAAAAAGGCGGAACACTGGCATCTAGCCTTCAGCGCTTCCCAATCCGCACACAAGCGCGGCACCTCCGGAAACTCATGTGGGCTTGCACTGCTTGAACCATGACTTCTGAGGCCCGACCGCACGTGGCGATTAGGGACCCACCGCCCGACACAAACTTCAGGAGGTGAAGTGTCCTGGTCCGGGAGTTGGCCACACAGTCGGCGGCATCCCACTGCTCGATTTCCATGCGGGGCGCTTTAAGAGGCGCTATCGACTCGGACGATGAGTCGGAGCCACCTTGTGACTCGGAGTCACTGTATCGCTGCTACTTGAAGAACGATGCCCCTCGGACGCGGCCTGTTCGGACGCCGAATCATTGATGATTTCAACCTTTGCTTCGACAGACGCCCTGAGCTCTGGTGCTTGGGGCACCACGGTTGGCGCTGGGGGATCGGTAAAGTATAAGGCTCGGGCAGCATCCGGGTGGAAAGATCCGGCGGCCACCGCTTGGCACATAGGTTCAAGAGCCCTCACAGCTTTCAAGGCTTCCTCTTTGGCGTAGACGGGCACGCTTCCTTTGACACACTTACTGTGACGCCCAAGCAAGGCCAAAATCCCGTCATCAAGACAAAACTTGGATCCCCAGTCAAGCAGGGTTCTCTTCAACGAGTGTGACGTGACCATTGACACATCTGACCCGGCTCGCTCAAGAACCATTTTCAACATGGATGTGCACTCAGACGACCTGAGGCTTCGTCGCCCCGGGGCAGCACCACCAGACCTGAAAGGCCTGAAGAGACCCGCGCCGACAGTCCCATTCAAGGTGAGGCCCACTCGCTCAAAAGCATCAGTCGCTGATCCTAGCCAATCGCCAGCCACAATGCCTTTGCTTGAAACGATGACCGGCAACAAATCATTCTTCTTTGCGATGGTCTGGGCCGTCTTGTGAAATCTGAGACGGATCTCTAGGTATCCGCTGCACATGCGATCAAAATCTGCTATCACCTCCTCCACAAGAACCAAATCGCTGTGTCTGGCTCTCGCGTAGAGTGCAAGAAGGAGATAAGCGCAAATTGCCCGGTCCCAGATCGGCGCACTCTCGTCTTCCAGCACGCCATGCAGGAAGCGCACCTCCGACACCTTGAGAGGCCGGGCTCGGTTGGTCGCCTTCTTTTTAACACCCAACTGGGCACTGAGGCCAAGAATCCTGCGGCTCGCAAGAACCTCGGACAAGCTCAGCCCCAGAACGAAGTTCGCAAAACGCAAAGCTGAGATGAGAGAGGCCGCACGGGTAGGAGCTGCCTTCTCTTTCTTCAAATAAGAAATGAAGTTCCACACAGAATCCTCGCAAAAAGGTTTCTCGTAACCTTCCTTGTCGCACCATCTCAACTATGCCAGAATTGTGTTAGCACGCTTCACAACCGTGTGCGGACTGCGTAGGCCTACACAAGCTGACACGATGCCAAACACTTCGTCTCTTGCATCTTTGGAAGAGGCCGCTCTCGCGAGTTCAGGCGACAAACGATCAACATCGGCGCGGCAAACTATATGCTGCAACTTGCACACCGCTCGGTCCATGACCATGTCACGTTCGTCGCTGGGATGCACATCCTTGAAAGACTTGAATGCCCTGCTTGCAATGTCAGCGGAAGGCATGGGGGGCTCAGGAATCTTCGGCTCTGCCGACGGCACATGTGCGGGGACTAATGGGCCAGGCATCTTAAGCACAAGGTTATCAAAGGGATTAGTTAAGCCCTCATCCCCGAAGATGGCTCTGAAGACCCCTCTCTCCCAGGGCAGGGCAGGAGATGCCACGGCTGTTCGTGAGCGCTCATCGCCCACAGCACGAGCGATCCTACCAGGACGTACCTCCTCTTCAAGGTCCCTCCTGCTGGCACTCGGCACCAACGAAAAATGTGATTCACTTGTGGCCCTAACATCCTCATACCAAGCAGTGTCCTCATCTCCCGACCCTAAGAGGGAAAGTGAAGGAGCTTGCTCGTCGGGCTCGAAGAGGCATGCTAAGTGGGCCTCGAAGTGACTGTTAAACCCTACGGGAGGGGAAGGTGGAAACTCGTGAGTTGGCTTTTGCACTTCGATTTCAGAGGCAGGCGCTGCGAAGTCACCAGTAAACCCTTCGAAGTCATCAGTAAACCCTTCAAACCCCCCCAATTATCCGAAGAAGCAGGGGCAGGAGCCGGATTGGCGGGAAAGGCATCTCCAAGGTCTGGGACGGGTGCAAACGGAAGTTCGGGAGGCAAGGCATCGTCAAGTTGCTCACGGGTCACTCGGTCACTCCGGCAAGCTGCTCCATGAAGCTGGCACTGAAAGAATTCATGATCAGAAGTTCTTTTCTGGCCTCGACCAGAGCAAAGGCTCCCTCAAGCAGACTGCTCGCGCGGTTCTAGAAATGCTCGGCAGGCGGCTCGCAGGCGCAAGACTGAGGCTTGTTCAGTGAAGTGATAGCATAGTGTCACTGATGCTAATGCACAACCGACTTCAAGATACCTTGAGATGGCGAGCGCGGGTGACAAGAAGATGCAATATAGCACCACTTGGCGCTCACACTGACAGAAAACTTTTGGCAGCCATTTTCTTTAAAAATCCAAGCCCGATTTTTCAAGAAAATTCAAGCTCAAGATATTAAGGGACTATCAGCGCTCGCACTGACGGCCTCCATAGCCGGCTGAGGTCGGCTTCCGTCTTGGCCTGGATCTGCTCCAGCATTCGCTGCAGAGGATCAGCCGGAACAACGACGGGTTTCCCAATGCTCATACACATGAAAATCTTTCGGCCGCGCTGAAGACGTTGTACACTGGCCCCTCCGCGAAGTTGCGATTTCCGTATGATGTTTCCGATCCTTGGGATGTATTGCTGCCAACCTCCCGGTCTCCTGACAGTCCGTCCTTCGCCAGATATCATCCATTGATGAGGGGAATGAGGCCGAGTCAAGGAAATGTCCCGGCCAACAGGCATAAGGGACATCGTTGCTGCAGGGCGTTTGTTGCAAGGCCGGTTTCGATTGTCAGGGACAGGAGCACTCCAGTGCTTCATAACTGTCTCAATTCTGTCCGCTAACTCGAGGTGTGTTCGCACAGGCTTTGCGCGCAAAGCTCGTCTCAGCATTCTCCATGCTTGCTCGGCCGTTTGCTGGGAAGGTGGCAAGCCAGGCTCATGACGACCCACAGAGCCGGCATGCCAAGAAGCCGCCCACAGAATCTCCTGACGAAAGGCTTCTTGCTTCATATACTGGGCAAAGAAATGTTGAGCCCAGATCCTGTCGCCCCACCCTTCTTCCATTCGCAGCTTGCAGGTTCTCCAAAACGGAGAGAAACCGAGAACAGATGGAATAAACATCGACTCGTAGAAGTACGCCAGGAAGACAGGCAGCCCTCGACTTGTAAGATGCGGGGGTATTGGAACCGGCTCCTGTTGCTGTTGCTCGTGGTGTCGCACTGCCTCTCGAGCACCACGCCCACGCCCGCGCCCCCGCCCCCGAGCGCGACGAGGACGAAAACGGGGCAAATTACCGTGGGCTCTTGCACGTCCTTGCGAATCGTTCTTTTCCATGTTCCTCCTCGCACGCTCAATGCCCTGCACGAGGCGTGTGCGATCACCGAACGCATTCCGGACGAGCCTCCGAAGACCCGGGAACCAGTCGGCGTGCACCTGCAGTCTGCATCACTGAGATTCTCGATTCCGGGCACGTGCAAATGCCAAGCCCAAGATCCGAAACAAGCACCTCCTTCCTGCTTAGTCTGAAGGCTATGGTTTGTTCCACTGTGCTGTCGGGGAGGGTGTCGCACAACCTATAGCTTTGTGGAACAAGAGGAGGCCTCCATAGAGCAATGCCTTTAGCCCCGATTGTGCGCATGCTGTGCAAACACTGATCCTGCCTGTCGTGGCTCTGGCAAGGAACGTCTGCGAAGCTCGCGAAGGAACTCTCTGAACAAGGTGTCGTACACATCCGCATCTTCGTTGCCAGAAAAAAGGCCCATCACTAATGGAAGAAAGGACCGCACCCATTTTCCTGCAAGCTTCTTGTGCACGATCGCCGATAGCATCACCAGGTTGTAGTCATGCCGCAGGACTTTATAGGTTGCGTCGACAGTGATGGCCCAGGCCTGTTCCCAGCTGTTCCAACATTGCCAAAGATTGAAAGGTGTCACTATTTTAGGGCCAACATACTTGTAGCAGCCAAGAAACAGTGTCGTGAACGGGTTCTGGCAGCAAAGTCTCGAGAAGCATCCAAAAGACTGGAAAAACCATGCACCACGTAAACAAAGGCTGTAGTGTATGGAAAACAACGCAAACAGCTCCATTGTCAGGGTCTGCACCATCCACGAACGGAAGTGGTGCCTCGACTCCAGCAGCTGTTCTGTACTTTTGCCGAAAGCTTTCCGTCGTTGCCGCAAGATACTGGTAATGGCTGGCAAACTTACCTTCCATGGGTCACAATTTTGTGATACATCCCAGTCCAAAGCTATCATGATGTGTTCAAATCAAACCTGAAGGAAAACCTGCATAAGCCACTGTTGATTGAACTCCCGCCTCACCGGGCTCCAGGCTCAGCTTCACAGCGGTCGGAGTAGCAGCACAAGAATTGGCCAAAAGGGTCTCCGCTGCTTCAAGCACCTTTCTGCGATCCTCCACGCTAGGTTGCCCCAGCTGCGAACCGCCTGCAGCACGAACGACTCGTTCTTCGACGCCGCACTCTCCGGCTGTTTCGACCGAAAGAATGTATGCATGCGGCCTCTCACTCACTTTGCCCAGGAAACGATACTATCGACCATTGCCCTCATGACAAGTCACATGACGCATGCATCGCCCCACCACAGACCAACCTCTTGCAGTCTGAATCGGGTTCCGGAAATCTCCAATGGCAAGTTTCTTGGACTCACGCCATTGGCATACCGCATGCCGCAAAGCGTCGATTGGATCTATCTCATCGGCCGGAGCTGGCAGCACATAGTCCTCCAAAGACACGTAAGTCAGTCGACGTCTCTTAGACGGAGATGGCACCGGGCACCGGGAACCACTTCCTCCTCATCCTCGCGTTGCGCCACGTGCATCTACAACGGGCGCAAGACGAACGGGGATTGTTACAGACTGACAATGAAGATGAAACTATGTAGTGTAGCATCCACGTGTCCGAAAATTGTACTCATGGGAACATAAACTCTTGCAAGGAACCAAAACCTGGTTTGAGGACAACTGCACAGCTTGAAGCAGCGGTAGTTTCGCCAAACGCATGAGCACTAAGCAAAAGCAGCACAAAATGCAGCAGAGCTGGGCGCCTGTGAAGCTGGCCAAGGCCTCCATGAGGCCTCCACGTTCCTTCCTCGCCCCGTCAGCCGAAACGGCGACGAGTCGAGTCTGAAGTCAAGTGCAAATCAATGTTGCAGAGATATGTTTTAGTTGCTGATTTTTTTTGTTTGCTGCAGATCTTTCTTATGTGTTGCCGCTTGAACTGACACTTCTTCTGAACGCAAAGCATTCAGAAGATGCAAAGGCCGTCTCGGGCCCTTCTTGCAAGGCTGGCGTTGCTCTTGCAGAGGAAAAGGAGGAGGACGGGCAAATCCTGCCCAACGGGGACAGTGCCACTGTCCTGTTGATCGATTTCGGTGCCGAGGCTTTCGGCACGTGGCGCATTACGATCAGCGGCAAACACAGTTTTACTCATTTCCATTCATGGCTGTTTTCAAAGAGATTCGGCGCGGAGTGGAAGTTTCAGGTGTTACATCAGCTGCTATGCATCTAACCATTTAATGAAACAACGGTACCCTACCTGAAAATCTTTTGAGTCCTTCAAGACGCCTGCGGAGTATAGCGCAATCACGATGTGAAACAAAGGAGTGCATGAAATACGATAAAGCAAATCATGATAAAATGCATGGGGTTTCTCAGGAACTAAAATAACAAACACCCCGCCTACGAAGCTTCATTGAGCTCGCGGGTTGAAGGCGTCACGCTAGGATTTGCCTCACCCCTTCCACAACAACAGCTTGGTTAGTTCAGGATTGTACTCTCATCACAACGTCTTTTCAGAGCACTGTCTCAATGGGTCTTTTGCTCGTTACTGTACTCAGCTACGTAGCACTGTGCATCTTCGACCAGGTTACACCGTCTCTGAGGGCTTGGACAGCCCACGAGACGATGGCTTGACTCACCCAAACCGAGGCGTTGGTTTTCCAAGGATCAAGATCTGTGCGGGTGTTCGCCCTCGTTCAAGAATCACAAGGAATATTCAAGTGGGTCACATGCTTACTGCCCCATCAAGATACAAAAGAATTCAGAGATTGACACCAAAATGGTGCTTGGACTTTCCAAAGTCGTGTCAAGTTTTGCTCAAACAAGACTATGTAACGTACCATCGTCGTCTCCACGGCAGCCTTTGTACAAGAATCCAACCGATCAGTGCACTGCCCAAAGCAGCGCGCTCAAGGATTGGCGCATTATAAGCATTATACCGAGTATTACCAAGTCATCCACCGTAGCACACTTTGCAATCTTTGCAATGTTTGAAGCTCGGCGCATTGCTTCTCCACGTGTGATACGCTCAAGCGCCTTAGCACACTCAAGTGCAAACGTGCGTGAGCGGCGACCACGCGTCGTAGCAACAGTGCTGCCGATGATCATGCTCCTAACGGAACGTTGTCTACTGCACCTGCGGTGCAGCCGAAGCCCAAAGCCAGAGGGCCCAGCAGTTGTGCAAGCACTCTTGATTGGTCGAGCGCATCAGAAAGCTTGATCAGCAGATCGCACTATGAACCAAAACTCTGGTTCCTTCAACTGTTGCGTTGATGGACATATTCGGCGCTGCCTGCGGCTTGCTGGACTTATGCCCTGCCTGTGGCATGCAGTCACGGGTCTCTTTCCAGTCACGGATGCCGGCTCAAAAACGCCGAGCAGCTCCCCCTGTGCTTCGGGAGTTTCACGGCCTTCCACGCATTTAAGGTTTCCAAACACAGATTGTTTACAAAGTTGAAATATTTCTTGCAAGGCAGACTTGAACGGGTTTTTTAAGACCTAAACCTCAAAAAACTTTAAACCAAGTCGAAAATACTGAACTCTCAGAATACATGACAAAATTTATTGGCTTACAATGGGTGAGTGAGACATTTTGACTTTGGCCGAAGCGTGATGCCTCAGAGAGTGTGAAAAGTTTGCTCCTTTTAGGTGTGCCCTGGAGTACTGACATGTTTGTTTTGCGCATGAGAAAGGGTTTCATCCTTTTTGCCTTGAACTGTTTTGTTTTGGAAGCTT